CATTAGCTATTTTAGACTCAATGTACAAACAATTACCATAACATACGTATGGAACAGATTTCATCTCAATCGTTTTGTCAACACTTTTCAAGGAAATGTCATATGGTATGCTCCTAAAAGAAGTTGAACTCTATGACTCATTCGTGTTATCTTGAACTCTTTCTTGCTACTGAACTTCAATGTTCCCTCAGAAGAGAGTTCGACATCTATGTTGTCAATAGTTTCTTCATTTATGAGAGTATCTATGACTCCAGCAATTTTATCTATTCTATACTCTGCTCTGTTAGGAAATGTTATAAAACTTCTTTTGTCATCTATTTCAATCTCTATGAAATCTGTTTCATCTGTTATGACAAAAGTTGCGATAGTATTGAAGTCAACAACTCTGAAAGCAAGTGCTTCATTCTGAAGACCTAAGTTTGTTTGAAGCTTTACTGTTCCATATTCGTTTGGGTCTGTACTTTGCAAATAGAACAACATTTTATTCTCATTAAAATATGACTATTGCTGCATATGCGTATGAAACAAATGAAGCAAGAAGAGCACATGAACTAGTAAATGAAAACTCAACTTTAACCATTGAAGGCAATGATTTAGTCATTGACGATGGAAAAACTAAAAAAGTCATTGATTTCGATACTTTTAACACTTATGACCCATTCATTACAATAAGTAAAGTTCCTATCATAAATGATGGAACGGTGCAATATATAAATTCTACAGTAGATGCCTCATTAGTGAAAGTACTGAATGTTCTCATTGAATTGTTAAAGAGCTTTCGATTTGACGACAACATTAAATGCCTAAAGAATTTAGTCATGAATGAGAAACAAATTCTTGGCGTTGCTGGTAGCAGTAATGATGTACACCTTATGACATTAGAATATTATAACGAACATAAAGATGAACTGAAAGGAGAGAAGGGTGACACGGACCAAAGGACCACAAGGAATACAAGGAATACAGGAATACAAGGACCTCAAGGCGAAAACGGTTTGGATGGAAAGGATGGAAAGGATGGAAAAACTGCTAAATCATGGATATGGGACCTTATAAATACTGGTTTAACAGCTGCTTCATATGGAGTTCTTCAATACCAAATCGGAAAGATATGGGCAGTACTTGGTGAAGAAGTTTTAGATGACGTTAAAAATGCTTTGAACTTCATTTCAAATGGTTCGGATACTATTAAAACTTTATCTGGTTGGATGCAAGAAACAAGGAGTCAAATAGATACTGTAAGACGTATAGCAAACAATGCACGTACGGGATTGGATACTTTACGAGAAGCACAAAATACACTAAAGGAAGCAAATGATATTCTTGGCTCAGTATCAGACATGCATGAAGATTGGCTTCAAGGTATTGACAAATCTTTAAAAAATCACAGTCAGTCTATTGCTGACTACAAGAAAAGTATAGATTTTTTACATAGTGCTATGGACGTACATGATGGAAGCATAAGGAACTTACTTAATGCTAACAATAACTTACCAGGAACTATTAAAGCATTTATAAAGTCCTTTGTAAAACCCGGTGTTCTAACATTTAGGTCTTTGAGAGCAAGAGCATTGAAGTCAAGAGATGCAGAAACTCCAACAGAACCTACAGAAGAACCACCAAAACCAACAGCTAATGAAATATTGTTCGAATATTTTCCAAGGTACTCTGTTCTCATTGCATACATTCAAGAAATACTTAAGAAAGCAGACTTGACTTTAGGAGATGATGAAAGTTCTGTATATCTTTCGTTCCAGTTTCAAATAGCAGAACTTTTGAGACAGATATGCTTAATGTATGACAACATCTCTGATTTCACAAGATATGATGACGACCATGACCCGAACACGGTGAAGAAGAAGTTTTACAAACATCCATTAAGACAGGAAAGGTTTTAACACAAAGTCTCATTATTGACACCAAAGATGGCGAAGTGGACGTTCTTCAAGAGCTGAAGAAAAATACTTCTTCGGGAGGTGGTGGTAGGCATGAACTTGAAATAAATGAGATAGAAGAGAAATTAGCCGAAAAAGCAGATAAAGAACATAAACACAATATCTCCGATATAAATGAACTTCAAGCTACATTAAATAGTAAAGCGGACAAAAATGAACTTGACGCAATGAACAAAGTTTTGAAATCTCATAAACACAATATCTCCGATATAAATGAACTTCAAGCTACATTAAATAGAAAAGCGGACAAGAACCACGTTCATTATATAACTTCAGACGAACAGATTATAACGGACTACCATGGATATTTAACAGAAGTGATGAAGCGAAGACAAAAAATGTTAATGAAAGAAGATATAAATACATTCGTGCTAAAGGTTATGACATAAGCTGTACTGTACAGTATGATGTAGCTAAAGCACCAGAAGCATTTGGTTATACCGGTGAAATTTATGCCTCTACTTTCAATGTTAACGGTGTATTAGTTGAACCAAGATTTCTTTGAGAGTTAAGTCAAAAATAACGTTTGAAGATGCTATTAAAAGTAAAGCTGACAAAGTTGAACTTGAAGCAATGAACAAAGTTTTGAAATCTCATAAACACATCTCCGATATAAATGAACTTCAAGCTACATTAGATAAGAAAGCCGACAAGAAATACACATAAATCCTTCACTACTGTTAGAGCAGACGACATAATATTGAACTTTGACCTTGGTTCAAGTGCACCATTAGAAAATCCAAGTACAAGCGTAAAAGATACTCTTAACAATTTAGATAAGAGTTGCAGGAATATCGAAGATCATGCCAGAAACTTTGAAGCATATGAACTACCAACAATGTTAGATAAGAAAGCAGACAAAAAAAGAGCTTCAAACATTAAAGACAGAAATACTTCAAACATTATATCCTATAGGCTCTATTTATACGTCAATGAATTCAACAAATCCAGAAACAGTTTTAGGTTTGGTATGTGGGAGAATTGTAGATTAAATTCTTATACTGTGCGAACTCTTCAAGCAAACAGGTGGTTCGAAGAAATTAAAGAAGCAAACCTTCCACCGCAACTCATACAGGAACTACAAACACAACAGGTAGTCATTCACATTCAATAAAAAAAGAGGTTATACAAATCTTGCAGCAGGTTCGGATAGACAGGGAATGCATAGATATGATATTTCAAGTGACCCAGTAGATTCAAGCACAGGTATTTTCTGTGGAACCACAGGAAATCATTCACACACTTTCACAACAAATCAACAGGCTCGGGTGAAGATTATATGCCACCATTTGTGACTATATTCGCATGGTACCGCGTTCAATGAACGCGCTTGAGCCTAGAATAAAATCTTTAACTTTACATCTGAGCTTGAAAGAAGTATTCGAACAACATCCATGGAGGTCATTTAAGAAGTTCAATGAAGCTGCAAAGAGTTGGGGATTACTACAGAGCTGAAGTGAAAAGGTTCTTTGACAAAAATGTTTGTACATCAAACAAAATAAACCCTTACGACTACTTTTTACCAATTTATCCAAACTCCTGACGCATACCAAATTTGACACTCTCATTCAAAGCAGAAAAGGAGGACATAAACCATTCCTCATCTTCATTAATGTTAACACTCGTAAAGCATATGCATATCCAATGAAAATAAAGGAACTCGTGAAGTGTTAAGAGTTTTACAAAAGTTTGTAGCAGAACATAGCCCAAGTACTTTAACATCAGACCAAGACAGTGCATACCTCAGCAATGAAATCACAGATTTTCTCATTAAGCATAACATAACTCACTACTGAAAGACCATAACCATAACATACTCGGCATCATAAACCGCTTCATAAGGACTCTCAGAGATTTAAATCAAGAGCGAGACTTTACCGAAGAAACAATGAAACACTTTCTCGAAGTATATAATTCCTCAACACATTCTACAACAGGACATACACCAAATTCAATGACACAACAACAAGAAGAAAAGTATATACAAAAGAAACGAAGTCAAACGCAAAATATCAGAAATTCAACACAATTTACCCTCATTCCTGGTACAAAAGTTCGTGTAGTTCTTGACGACAAACCGTTTGACAAAGAAACGTTTAAGGTTAAGTAGAAACTATTATATCGTAGACTATACGCAAGGTAATGGATATCTTATAAAAGCTGCTGACGACTCCATAGCATTTTACCCTCGTCATAAATTAGTCGAAAGTAGTAATGGCAAACTTGCTGAAACCATTGACGAAGCAAAGCGAGGAGTGGTTATTGAAATACTTGGCTATAACACAAACGATGACACTTATAAAGTAAGATATGAAGGAGGCGTTGAAGATGTTATACCATCTAAGAACTTGAAGAATCTAAACCAATCTGGGACCATTAGAGCGGGAGTACTGGAAAGACAAAAATATGCCAGAAAGAATAAGAAAATTCTTCTAAACTTTTTCATTAGATGTAAATCAGACATGAACGAGAACAGTCATGAAATTATTAATGGTAATTTTTTTACACCAAAAATAAAGTTTATGTTAGAATGTTAGATCTAACACGTTTTCTAACCACTTTTCTAACATGGTCTAAAACTCTCGAAAATCATAAATTTTTGACATTTCCTTATGAAAGAAAAATAAAGTTAGTTTTATTTTTATTTATTTTTTTTTTATTTTGTATGTAAAGACAGTAATGTCAGTCGAAGCAAAAAACATTCACGAACAAATCTAATGGCGAAACATTCACAAAAGGCACTTATAATGGTATTGAAGTCTTACGTAGAGACAAGGATGGTTACATTAATGCAACAAAGATGTGTCAGCAGTTTAGGAAAGACTTTAGAAAGTTGTTGGAAAATAAGTCCTGGAAGAGTATTATAAGGCATTTTGTGAAGAATATAGCAACCGCCGGAATTCAGACGGTTGGTTTTTATACAAAATTCATGCAGGAATTCCTGATGAAATCAAACAGGTTAGAGGAACGTATGTAGACCCAAGACTTATAAACTATATAGCAATGTGGGCTTCTCCAAAATATTGCATAGCAGTTGGAAAAATTATGGACTCCATAGACAAGAAAGTTCATGAGAAGTTAGATGAAGAAGAACTCGAAGATACAGTGGAGAATGCTAAACCTTTGTTTGAAGAAGTTAGAAAAATGTGTGAAAAACAATTAGAACATGAACGTGAGATATGTTATGGTTATAGAGATTCTCAATACGAACTAGACCAATGGGAACAAGAAGATTTAAAGAGAGAATTTAGAGAATATGAACTCGCTAAGATAGCATTAGAAACTGCAGAAAAGAAGTTAAAAGTTTGGGGTCTACATACGTTCCTCTAACCTGTTTGATTTCATCAGGAATTCCTGCATGAATTTTGTATAAAAACCAACCGTCTGAATTCCGGCGGTTGCTATATTCTTCACAAAATGCCTTATAATACTCTTCCCAGGACTTATTTTCCAACAACTTTCTAAAGTCTTTCCTAAACTGCTGACACATCTTTGTTGCATTAATGTAACCATCCTTGTCTCTACGTAAGACTTCAATACCATTATAAGTGCCTTTTGTGAATGTTTCGCCATTAGATTTGTTCGTGAATGTTTTTGCTTCGACTGACATTACTGTCTTTACATACAAAATAAAAAAATAAATAAAAATAAAACTAACTTTATTTTTCTTTCATAAGGAAATGTCAAAAATTTATGATTTTCGAGAGTTTTAGACCATGTTAGAAAAGTGGTTAGAAAACGTGTTAGATCTAACATTCTAACATAAACTTTATTTTTGGTGTAAATAAATGGTACCATTAATAATTTCATGACTGTTCTCGTTCATGTCTGATTTACATCTAATGAAAAAGTTTAGAAGAATTTTCTTATTCTTTCTGGCATATTTTTGTCTTTCCAGTACTCCCGCTCTAATGGTCCCAGATGTGTTGGTTTAGATTCTCTCAAGTTCTTAGATGGTATAACATCTTCAACGCCTCCTTCATATCTTACTTTATAAGTGTCATCGTTTGTGTTATAGCCAAGTATTTCAATAACCACTCCTCGCTTTGCTTCGTCAATGGTTTCAGCAAGTTTGCCATTACTACTTTCGACTAATTTATGACGAGGGTAAAATGCTATGGAGTCGTCAGCAGCTTTTATAAGATATCCATTACCTTGCGTAGAGTCTACGATATAATAGTTTCTACTTAACCTTAAACGTTTCTTTGTCAACGGTTTGTCGTCAAGAACTACACGAACTTTTGTACCAGGAATGAGGGTAAATTGTGTTGAATTTCTGATATTTTGCGTTTGACTTCGTTTCTTTTGTATATACTTTTCTTCTTGTTGTTGTGTCATTGAATTTGGTGTATGTCCTGTTGTAGAATGTGTTGAGGAATTATATACTTCGAGAAAGTGTTTCATTGTTTCTTCGGTAAAGTCTCGCTCTTGATTTAAATCTCTGAGAGTCCTTATGAAGCGGTTTATGATGCCGAGTATGTTATGGTTATGGTCTTCAGTAGTGTAGTGAGTTATGTTATGCTTAATGAGAAAATCTGTGATTTCATTGCTGAGGTATGCACTGTCTTGGTCTGATGTTAAAGTACTTGGGCTATGTTCTGCTACAAACTTTTGTAAAACTCTTAACACTTCACGAGTTCCTTTATTTTTCATTGGATATGCATATGCTTTACGAGTGTTAACATTAATGAAGATGAGGAATGGTTTATGTCCTCCTTTTCTGCTTTGAATGAGAGTGTCAAATTGGTATGCGTCAGGAGTGTTGGAGTAAATTGGTAAAAAGTAGTCGTAAGGGTTTATTTTTGTTTGATGTACAACATTTTTGTCAAAGAACCTTTTCACTTCAGCTCTGTTAGTAAATCCCCAACTCTTTGCAGCTTCATTGAACTTCTTAAATGACCTCCATGGATGTTGTTCGAATACTTCTTTCAAGCTCATTTATGTAAAGTTAAAGATTTTATTCTAGGCTCAAGCGCGTTCATTGAACGCGGTACCATGCGAATATAGTCACAAATGGTGGCATATAATCTTCACCCGAGCCTGTTGGATTTGTTGTGAAAGTGTGTGAATGATTTCCTGTGGTTCCACAGAAAATACCTGTGCTTGAATCTACTGGGTCACTTGAAATATCATATCTATGCATTCCCTGTCTATCCGAACCTGCTGCAAGATTTGTATAACCTCTTTTTGTTATTGAATGTGAATGACTACCTGTTGTGTTTGTAGTTCCTGTATGAGTGTGCGGTGGAAGGTTTGCTTCTTTAATTTTCTTCGAACCACCTGTTTGCTTTGAAGAGTTCGCACAGTATAAGAATTTATCTACAATCTGCTCCCACATACCAAAACCTAAAACTGTTTCTGGATTTGTTGAATTCATTGACGTATAAATAGAGCCTATAGGATATAATGTTTGAAGTATTTCTGTCTTTAATGTTTGAAGCTCTGTTTTGTCTGCTTTCTTATCTAACATTGTTGGTAGTTCATATGCTTCAAAGTTTCTGGCATGATCTTCGATATTCCTGCAACTCTTATCTAAATTGTTAAGAGTATCTTTTTACGCTTGTACTTGGATTTTCTAATGGTGCACTTGAACCAAGGTCAAAGTTCAATATTATGTCGTCTGCTCTAACAGTAGTGAAGGATTTATGTGTATGGTTCTTGTCGGCTTTCTTATCTAACATTGTTGGTAGTTCATATGCTTCAAAGTTTCTGGCATGATCTTCGATATTCCTGCAACTCTTATCTAAATTGTTAAGAGTATCTTTTACGCTTGTACTTGGATTTTCTAATGGTGCACTTGAACCAAGGTCAAAGTTCAATATTATGTCGTCTGCTCTAACAGTAGTGAAGGATTTATGTGTATGGTTCTTGTCGGCTTTCTTATCTAATGTAGCTTGAAGTTCATTTATATCGGAGATGTTGTGTTTATGAGATTTCAAAACTTTGTTCATTGCTTCAAGTTCAACTTTGTCAGCTTTACTTTTAATAGCATCTTCAAACGTTATTTTTGACTTAACTCTCAAAGTAAATCTTGGTTCAACTAATACACCGTTAACATTGAAAGTAGAGGCATAAATTTCACCGGTATAACCAAATGCTTCTGGTGCTTTAGCTACATCATACTGTACAGTACAGCTTATGTCATAACCTTTAGCACGAATGTATTTATATCTTCTTTCATTAACATTTTTTGTCTTCGCTTCATCACTTCGTGTTAAATATCCATGGTAGTCCGTTATAATCTGTTCGTCTGAAGTTATATAATGAACGTGGTTCTTGTCCGCTTTTCTATTTAATGTAGCTTGAAGTTCATTTATATCGGAGATATTGTGTTTATGAGATTTCAAAACTTTGTTCATTGCGTCAAGTTCATTTTTGTCCGCTTTACTATTTAATGTAGCTTGAAGTTCATTTATATCGGAGATATTGTGTTTATGTTCTTTATCTGCTTTTTCGGCTAATTTCTCTTCTATCTCATTTATTTCAAGTTCATGCCTACCACCACCTCCCGAAGAAGTATTTTTCTTCAGCTCTTGAAGAACGTCCACTTCGCCATCTTTGGTGTCAATAATGAGACTTTGTGTTAAAACCTTTCCTGTCTTAATGGATGTTTGTAAAACTTCTTCTTCACCGTGTTCGGGGTCATGGTCGTCATCATATCTTGTGAAATCAGAGATGTTGTCATACATTAAGCATATCTGTCTCAAAAGTTCTGCTATTTGAAACTGGAACGAAAGATATACAGAACTTTCATCATCTCCTAAAGTCAAGTCTGCTTTCTTAAGTATTTCTTGAATGTATGCAATGAGAACAGAGTACCTTGGAAAATATTCGAACAATATTTCATTAGCTGTTGGTTTTGGTGGTTCTTCTGTAGGTTCTGTTGGAGTTTCTGCATCTCTTGACTTCAATGCTCTTGCTCTCAAAGACCTAAATGTTAGAGCACCGGGTTTTACAAAGGACTTTATAAATGCTTTAATAGTTCCTGGTAAGTTATTGTTAGCATTAAGTAAGTTCCTTATGCTTCCATCATGTACGTCCATAGCACTATGTAAAAAATCTATACTTTTCTTGTAGTCAGCAATAGACTGACTGTGATTTTTTAAAGATTTGTCAATACCTTGAAGCCAATCTTCATGCATGTCTGATACTGAGCCAAGAATATCATTTGCTTCCTTTAGTGTATTTTGTGCTTCTCGTAAAGTATCCAATCCCGTACGTGCATTGTTTGCTATACGTCTTACAGTATCTATTTGACTCCTTGTTTCTTGCATCCAACCAGATAAAGTTTTAATAGTATCCGAACCATTTGAAATGAAGTTCAAAGCATTTTTAACGTCATCTAAAACTTCTTCACCAAGTACTGCCCATATCTTTCCGATTTGGTATTGAAGAACTCCATATGAAGCAGCTGTTAAACCAGTATTTATAAGGTCCCATATCCATGATTTAGCAGTTTTTCCATCCTTTCCATCCTTTCCATCCAAACCGTTTTCGCCTTGAGGTCCTTGTATTCCTTGTATTCCTTGTATTCCTTGTGGTCCTTGTGGTCCGGTGTCACCCTTCTCTCCTTTCAGTTCATCTTTATGTTCGTTATAATATTCTAATGTCATAAGGTGTACATCATTACTGCTACCAGCAACGCCAAGAATTTGTTTCTCATTCATGACTAAATTCTTTAGGCATTTAATGTTGTCGTCAAATCGAAAGCTCTTTAACAATTCAATGAGAACATTCAGTACTTTCACTAATGAGGCATCTACTGTAGAATTTATATATTGCACCGTTCCATCATTTATGATAGGAACTTTACTTATTGTAATGAATGGGTCATAAGTGTTAAAAGTATCGAAATCAATGACTTTTTTAGTTTTTCCATCGTCAATGACTAAATCATTGCCTTCAATGGTTAAAGTTGAGTTTTCATTTACTAGTTCATGTGCTCTTCTTGCTTCATTTGTTTCATACGCATATGCAGCAATAGTCATATTTTAATGAGAATAAAATGTTGTTCTATTTGCAAAGTACAGACCCAAACGAATATGGAACAGTAAAGCTTCAAACAAACTTAGGTCTTCAGAATGAAGCACTTGCTTTCAGAGTTGTTGACTTCAATACTATCGCAACTTTTGTCATAACAGATGAAACAGATTTCATAGAGATTGAAATAGATGACAAAAGAAGTTTTATAACATTTCCTAACAGAGCAGAGTATAGAATAGATAAAATTGCTGGAGTCATAGATACTCTCATAAATGAAGAAACTATTGACAACATAGATGTCGAACTCTCTTCTGAGGGAACATTGAAGTTCAGTAGCAAGAAAGAGTTCAAGATAACACGAATGAGTCATAGAGTTCAACTTCTTTTAGGAGCATACCATATGACATTTCCTTTGAAAAGTGTTGACAAAACGATTGAGATGAAATCTGTTCCATACGTATGTTATGGTAATTGTTTGTACATTGAGTCTAAAATAGCTAATGTCACAGGCATTTCAGGAGTTAATAGTAAAGGTTCAGTAGAATATAAATCCTTCTGTTATGCAGTCAATTCAATGTTCATTCCAAACGTTCCTGTCATAGCAACTCATTTAGGTAAATGGGTTCGCATTAGTCCTCATAATTTGAAAGACATGCAATTCAGACTAGTTGACTTTCAGGGCGAGCCTGTAGAACTGAAGGCACCAGTGCGAATGACTGTTGAAGTTGACTTTTTAGAAAATATTAAATGCAACAGCTTACAAGAGAACTCAGAGCTAAAAATATAAAGTATGAATGTTATGTATTAGGTCATGAACTTTGGTTGTTGCTGTTTGATGAAACAAATGAATTAGTTATGTCAGTCAAGAGAACAGAAAAATATTGTGTTAGTGAAAACTGCACCAAGTCAATAAGATTAGGTTTGCATTATGAAGATGAGTTCGATACTGTTGAAGAAGTTTTGGATAGATATTACAAATTGCTAACTTGAAATTTTTTGACTGACGGTGCAAAGCGCCAAGATGGGCTCAAAGAGCCCTCCTGACTGCTTTAATTTACTAAAACATATTTCAAACAAAGCTTATAGTCAGTAGATAGTTTTGTATACTCGTTCGAATATTTATACTTAAACTCAACTCCTGTAGTTTCTGGTGTTTCAATGATGCGGATGTTACCTATTTTCATGAATAATGGAGTTTGACCACAGCATTCGATTTCAGGGTCGAGATAGTCAATGACACATTGTTTCCCTGTTATTCGTGAGATAACATTTTCAAGGTCCTCCTTTGTTAGAATTATTTGGTTCTTACTTATAAGATTTGTCAAAAGCTTCTTATCGTCTTTGAGTAAAATTGTTTGGTATAACTGAAGAAGGTAATGGTCTACGTTATCTGAAGGATTTGTTTGAACATTTATGTAAGGGTTGTCGTTGGCTTCTCTTGAAAGAATTTGGTCCAGTGGTGGATACTCTAACTTAACATCTGATGTAGCGTTTGCACTTGAAGCTGAGTTTAAATTCACGGATTTCAGTTCTGGTTCTTTTTCTTTCAAACACTCCGAACTATAGTTCTTTATGACAATATTGTTTGTCGTTCGTGAGTCAACATTTGATGTTGGTTCAATTGGAACATTAACGACACCAGCTAAGATGGATTTGCTTCTCATTTCATATAGAATAAAAACCTTTTATATGTATGAAATGAACAATATACTCGACAAGGGTTTGAATGTAAAGCTAACGAATGAAAATATTGTTGAATTCACCGAGACAGGTGTTGTGTATAAAGATGTAGAACTACTGAACAAAAGAGCTAAGGGAAGAAGCAGGAACATGAACAAAGGGTGGAAGCCTATAAAAATTTATGTCAATGATGGCTCAGGAGGTTCAAACATAAAGTATGCAGAAAGTTATAGAGTTTATGCTCTCAAAGGTGAAAAGCCTTCATTTAAGAACAGCTATTCTAACGCATATCCTCAAAAGCTAACGGATGGGGAAGTGGATGATATGAATGACAGCAAAAATATTAACAAAATGGCGACAGAGATGCATGGAATTTGTTTACCATCAGTCAATTGAAGGTTAAACTTTAAAACAATGTTGGTCGTTCCCATGGAATATTTTTGACTTTAATGGTATTAGTCATGATATGAATCTCAAGGTATGAACGAGGAGAGATGAGAGACTTATATGCTTCCCAAATTTCTTCAAAAGGTAATGTTATACCTGACTGTTTCCAAATGAGTTCAATATCATAGCGTGAGAAACCTTGAAAGATAACGAAGTCAGTTATGAGACGTTTTATGTTTAAAGCAAAAACGCCCATGTTTGCATAAGTATTGCTACAGTTAAATGGTAATGTCTGACTTTAGTTATGATGTTAGCTAATGGTGAGTCAGGCTTTGACACTAAACCTTTTCCGGCGAAGTCGTCACAAACGAGCAGAGTGTTTGAAGGATACTTTTTGAAGGGGTATTTTGAAAGTTTTGACAGAATGTAGTTTGTAAGTCGTTTCATATCGTAAACTCCTGAGTATTGACGTAAGTGGTGTTTGTCAATAATTCTTTCCATCTCCTCAGAAGTCTTTTGCATTCCTGACTGTATGAACTCTACGATGGCATAATATTTTCTCTTACGTCGAATGTAACGTTGAAGAAATTCAATGAGTTCACTGTCTGGAACTTTAACGACAGAGGCTTGAACTTTTGACATAAATGTTTTCGCTGTTGAGTCCATAGAGTCTGAAGTTGCTGATATAATGATTTGGTCATAGTAAGAGTCGTTTCCTAAACGCTCTGTTATGAGTATATGACGAATGAGGTTAAATGTCTTTCCTGACCCATCTTTCCACAATAGAAATAAACACCATTTGAACAGAATTCATAATCTTTGCTGAAAGGAAGAATGAAGAGAAGAGTTAAGTTTGTCTGTAGTTTCATTCATGTCTTCATCTACGTCATGTATTAAATGCTTCATTTTATCTCCATTAAAAATGCAAGTCAGAAATATTCAGAACATAGCACCGAGTCTAACTGACAAGAGTATAAAGATATACTATGAACATGTTATGATGAAACCAACCAAAATTCAAGAAAGTCAGTATACTTATGAATATCCAAGACACTGGGTAGAGTATGTAGGAGGTGAGAAAGCTATTGAAATCAGACAGGTTCGAAGTATTCCAGCAGGAAGAACAATATTATTGAAGAACTTTAATGTTTTGAGATATAATGATGAAACAAAGAAGCAAGATAGTTTCCCTGTTGCTGTGTATGTGAACTTAGATACAGGAGATGACATGAAAGTTTTTAATACAAAGCTTCAAACGGTAGTGAGAGAACAACTGACTGCGGAAGGGCATCCATTACCTTCAGAAGTTACCATAGCATATAATTTTGAAACAAACTCAATAGATTTTAAAGTCATCTCTGCAAAGAAGTCAGGTTTTACATTTAATGAAGCAGATGTATATTCGAATGAAAACTTCAAAGCTATTGCATGGTTAGATAATGACGATTGCTTTAAGAAAATTTTAAATTCAGTGACTCAACGATGTCAATAGATGACCTTCGTGGAATGTTACCATCGACGTTTACAGTAGAAGGTTCAGCAGGATTGCTTACAAGATTGTCAATTGGTGGTATTTGGTCTCGTGAGAACATTGTTATAAAATCCAGTATAAGTGAATTTGCTGAAGAATCTATATTATGTCTTTCAAACTATATGTATTCGCCGCCGAAGCATTATAGTATAACAAACTTTGTCAGTAAGTTTAACATAAGACTTGTCGAACCTTCTTCAATGAAAGATGTTGTGCTACCTAAAGATGGAAAGGATGGACTCATTATTGAGATGATTTTAATAGCATATTAAATGAGCTTGTTCTTGAAGGTCATTCATGATGAAATAACTGTTGTAGAAGATGTTAGCAATTGTTCAGACATTTTGAAGCGTATAGATGATATAAGAAATAAGTTAGATAGACCGCAAAGCGGTGAGGGCGAAGCCCGTGAGAACGCTTATGTTTCATTGACTTTCTCCAGTAACGAGAACTTTTATGAGA